TAGCATGAAGAGTGCTCCTAGGAATTGTTCGAACTAATACCGCATGCATCTTTCTGCCATCGTTCCATACGGCAAAATTTACATCCCCATCACTTGGAAAATTGGATACTTGGACAATTGTGCACTTTTCAAGGCACTTTTTGCCTCGTACCAATCTGTAGAACAAGTTATCGTCTGCGGTATTTCCGGACCGATACGACTGTCAAACTAAAAGGCCGGCAACGCACTTGTGACTCTTGAGTTGCAGGCGTTCATGGGCGGTGGTAGTCACTTTTCATCAGGTCTCCTCATGGTGTTATTCACTATAGCTTTCTAGGGTCTGGTCAGGTAATCATCAACAGCCTATAACAGTCCACTGCTGGACATAGGCCTCTCCTTAAAAAGGAGGTTTTGGCCTACTATACCACGCTTTCCAGACGGGTTGGTATAGGGTTTGTTTCAAGTTTTCCTTCTCTCTGCAGTGCTGTTGTCCTGCGTAGTTTGCTCCCTTAGTCGCCTCTTACGAGACCCACGGGATGAATAGGGGTGGTGACATTCCGTATTCTTAATCCGTCACCACACGGACAATGGTCAGGTAATAACAGCAGATATTTACTCTGCCGAACTTCGAACAATGATGGAGAAACTGGCAGTAAAACAGCCCCGACTCGTGAATCGATCTTTACCATTATTGCTCCATGATAACGCAAGATGTCACACTGCACGAGAAACCGTTGTAACTCTACAAGAGCTGCAGTTAAAAACCATACGTCATCCTCTCTACTCGCCAGACGTTGCTCTAACGGACAACCATCTTTTTTGGTGATTTGGACAAATTTCTACGTGATAAAAAAATTTCTTCCCAGGAGGCAGTACAAAATGCTTTCACACAGTTTGTCGAATATAAATCCCCAGAGTTCTATCGTAAAGGCATTAATGAACTTCCATTTAGATGGCAGCAATGTATAGATAATGAGGGTAAATATTTTGATTGAATAAATAATTTACATCTTTCGAGTTTCAATTTTTCAGTACAAATCGGCAGTTTCATACTTTAACCCCTAATATGTTATGCCTGTTTTGTAACTACAAGAACTATTGTATAACAGAAAAGTAATGAACAGTGAATAAAATTTTCACCATACGCCGATGTGACGTAATGTAGTGATCGTTCTCATCACACAATTATTTGTCCTGGGTGGCAATCGAACCCACGACCTCTGCTTAGCAGTCAAGATCGCTAACCGTATCAATAGGGCTGTCCATTACTGCTCAGAATACTCATTTGTCGCACTGTGCAGAGTAGGTCATCAATATAATGAATGTAGCTAATATTTCTCAAACTTTTGAATGATTTTTTAAAAGAATAAATGAGAAAAAATTATATCTTGGGCACGGACGCGCAAATGGTCGTTTTGGGAGTGATCAAGGAGAAACCTCGAGGATATAATGTGTGAATTTAAAAATGTATGAGTATCACGGATCAGACAGCCGTGTGTGATATGTGCGAAGCTAAGTGATCACACTTTTTTAAGTATGATCACTATATAATTAACTTCATACATCTCATACTAATTACATGCAGGATTGGGTTTCGCATGAGGTCAGTGTTTGCTAAGTAACCACTTATTTTTGTTAATTTCGAAGTAAAACTTATTTATACACGCTTGACTTGGGGAGTAACTGTGACGAGAGCGTTACGAGAAATGTGATTGGGAGAGGCGAACGGCAGTTGAGAGGGAGATATAAGTAAGTGAATATAGAAAGAGAGAGAGTTATGTTTTGTGTTCTTGTGTGTGTGTGTGTTCTTCCTCTCTTTCTCTCATAGCCAAGAATTTTTACTTCAGTCGTGTGGTCTAAAGCACAGTAGTTTTTTTTAATGATTGGAATTTAAATCAGTTAGCTTGTCTCCTTTGGAAGAAAACTTCTTTACGGACGCTTGACTTGGGGAGTACGCTGGTGAACGTTACGAGAGCGTTGCGAAAAGTGTGATCGGGCGAGGCGAACGGAAGTTGAGAGGAAGAGAAAGTTGTTGCAATAAAAAGGTTTGGATGATATAAATTAGTATTATATTATAAAGGTTTTCTACGTGTACAACGCTACACTGTTCCACCGAGTAGAGAGGTAGCACACAGACAATATAGATTAAACTATAGATGGAAGGCGCGAAATTTCAGTTGCACAGATTATATAAACATACTTTAACACTCCCTTCAAATTAGAGCCTTCCTTCTGTAATATTTTATTTTTATAAAACAGGTATAGCAACATACAACAGATTATGTAACACAAATAATAGCATTTTAACATACATATTGTGAACCTAAGACCCTATAACATCTGTACACATCATTTAAAAGTTAACAGATTCCTAGAGATGAAGACAAATAGATAAACAAATGGAGATTCGAAGAAGTGAATACAATAGTAACAACGGTGACTAAACACTAACTTAAATGATCATATATGGCTTTTTTGAAGTTAATTAATTTATTGTGGCGACTCCCACATACAAAAAAAACATACTACAGCGCCATCTAACGAAGACACACCGAACTACGGAGTAACTCCTGAATGAGAATTGCTAATCCTGTATCGCGATAAGAAGAATTCTCTCGCCGATCAGCGTATATACATCTTCCCTACTTCAACCGTTGGGCCGCGGCCCGCCAGGCATGAACACCTCGCCTGGTCGGAGGATCCTCCCTTTGTGTTGGAGGGACATGACACCCGTTCCTTGACATGATGTCTAAAGAACGAACTAAAAGTATAACGATAATTGTCCGGGATTGGATTCCCGAACAAATATCGTTATACTGCCTACACATCTTCTTAAGTGGGCTATTTTCAGAGACATTATTGTTACTTGAGGGTACAGTAAACAATTGTAATATGAGCACAAATCGCGTAGGTATCTTAAAATGTATCTGTGTGATGAGATTACAGTCTAGAGAACCATTAACAATTTTGTGTAGTCGCTCATCCGTCCATCTATCCTCTTCCATCCTCTAAGCTTACCATGTCATAAATTATCATCCTCCATAAAATACCTCGTATATCGGTATTTTACGCCTCAATCCACATTGCACGGATAAAGCTCTAACGAATCGTTTTTAAATCGCTTCAAGTCTGTATATATGTTTTTGTAGATTGGAGCCCAGATAGATAAACAGTATTCCACAACACTTCTTAGTAGGGCGTCGTATAAAGTTATTAATGACTTAACCTGCTTAAAAGGTTTTGCATTACGAAGCACAAAGGTCAACATACGATTTGCTTTAATGCATATGTGATCATAGTGGGGTCTGAAGGACATAACGGGGTCGAACGTTACCCCTAAGTCACGCATTATCTCAACTCTTTCTATGCTAATGCCCTCTATATTGTAATTCAAGTTCAGTGGTTCATTTATGTCTTGACGATTAGGGACGGTCCTAAATATTTTTATGTCATCAGCATATCAAAACTTTTAGGACCGTCTTAAATTTATCATAACAATAACAACAAAAACAAAACCGCAATAATGAAAATACAATTAACCTTTTAGACTTAACAAACCAATTTTACTTCTCATTAATTTAAATCTATCTCTAGACAGGCTTTTAGTACAAATGTCAGCTAATTGGCTCTCTGTGCTTACATTATTCAAAGAAATAATGTTTTCACAGTATTTTTCTCTAACTAAATTATACTTATCAGCTATATACTTACAACGTTTATGAAATTATTTTTCGACCGGAGTGATACCACGGCCTCACCGAAAACCGGTGTTAAGCAATCCTTTCGTTGCCTTTTACTGAGAGAGTAAGGTTACCGGAGTCCAAATCCTCAAGCGGGAGGGACTCCAAGGGCAGCAACGCACTTGTGACTTTTGAATTGCAGGTGTCTGTGGGCGGCGGTAGTTGCTTTCCATCAGGTGACGCGTTTGCTCGTATTATACCATAAAAAAAAATTGAGTGACATTTATAGCGCTTTGATTGTTAATATTCAAATGCACATATAAATTTGGTTGTACTCTCCCACATCACAAACCAATTGCTTTATCCACATAACTTCCTTGGTAGCTACACAGGCAGCCATCGATTCAGCCTCTGTTGTTGAGAGCGCTACACTTTGTTGGAGCTGACTAGACCATGTGATAGCGACTCCATTTTTAATGAAAACATATCCTGTCATAGAACGTCTTGATGTGACATCATTAGCATAATCTGCGTCACTGTAGCCAATCAAATAAGTAATTTAAGGCTTAGATTGTGAATATAGACAATATTTTATGGTACCTTATAGATACTTCAATATTTTCTTGACTGCATTCCAGTGAGATTCATTATAACAATGCAAAAATTTACTTACCAGACTAACTACAAATATTTATTTTATAACTTTTTGCACAAGTACATGCATCGGCGGACTTAATGCCTAAGGCATTCTTCGCCAGTCGACCGATTGGGCGATGCTGAGAAAGAATGAAGTAGGTGCATGGGGGGTAATAAATGATAGAGGTTTTGTTAAATACCAACTATCTTAGAATTTTGTGTATACATCTGAATACCACACACATACAATACTTACAAACACACATACATATATATACGCACATACACATACACACACATACACATATATATTCATATATACATATATATTACAAAAAAATATAAAATTTTTAGGCGATGAGCTAGAAGCTCGTTTAATCTTGAGTCACTGAGGAAAAGCTTTTCATTTTCGTCTTAAAAGAGTACCGATTTGTGGCCATCCTTACTTAGAGGAGAAGCGCATTCCATAAGAGGACAGCCTGGACAAAGAACGAAAAAGACAGAGTAGAAGGAGATTGTTGGCTGAACGAAAGTTTCTGTTGTGATTTTTGCATAAAAATTGAAATTATGTTGTTAAGTAAGTAGGCGAGGAACGGGAATTCAGAATAGTATACATAATTGTAAGTGCGCGCATTTTCCTGCGTTTACGAATAGGTAACCGTCTTAGCTGGGAACTAAAACTGGAGATATGGCATTCAGGTCATAATGGATATGTTTAAAGTTCGTAGAATCAACAAGAAGAATTATCTTCGTCGCTTTTGTGTCACGTTTGAGATCTACGGCGTCATCACATTCAACACAGTTCCACAACTCCTCGTGTTGAAGATACGTTTTCGCAGTTCGCTGCGAACTGCTGTAAACGTCGCGCAGTTGTCTCGGCCCGTTAACTTTTCAATTAATGCCAATGGGTTGTTGGAAGACATTTTTGTAGACCGGAACTTAGGTTGGCGGTGGCACTTAGGTTAGGAAAATTGCCCGCTTGAATATTATCACTTTATATTTATATAAGAGATTTCCACGTATATTGTCACTCATCACGATATCTCTCGGACCATTAGAGCTAAAGACTTGAAATTTGGTAGGAATATTCTTTTCACCGAGTCGAGGTCAGCTAAGAACGGATTTTAAGAAATGCCAAAAAAATAAATAAATTAAATAATGTAAATAGCAAAACAACGTTTGCAGGATCAGCTAGTCACTTTATATGGGAACTATTTTTACTTTTTGCTACTAACAGGGCTTCTGGACCCATAACCTGTTGCAATAAAAAGGTTTGGATGATATAAACTAGTATTTTATTATAAAGGTTTTCTACGCTTACAGCACAACACTGTTCCACCGAGTAGAGAGGTAGCACAAAGAAAATATTGACTAGTCTATAGTTGGAAGGCGCGAAATTTCAGTTGCACAGATTATATAAACATACTCTAACAGAGATATAAGTTAGTAAAAATAGAAAGACAGAGAGTTACGTTTCGTATATTACTGTAGGGGCAAGAGAGAGCTGCGAGCACACATTTTCTTTCCCTCTTTCTCTCATAGCCAAGAAGTTTTACTTCATTCGTTTGGTCTAAAGCACACTCGTTTTTTTTTAATAATTAGAATTCAACTCAGTTGGTTTGCCTCCTTTGCCAGTAAAAAATGTTAACTTTACTTAGTTTGAGACCGATTAATTTTATTAAATTCTCGTATTTAACTCACTTTATCACTTTCTATATTTTTGTGACAATCATACATTTATGAAAAAAAATACCAAAAATATTTTTCAACCTTGAATCTATTTATTTTAATTTTTCTTGTAATCCAGAAAGAAAATTCTGAGTTAACGATATAAGCCGAACCCCTATTAAACCTAAAAAGCACTAGGACGTCTGAGTGTACGGATTATCGGTAATCTTTAAAGGTCGTCCTCAATTTCACGCGTCTTTATCCTTTAAGGTCCTACATTTATTCCTAAAGATGGGAATTAAAGCTGATGTGTAAAATACGAGTAACAAAGTTTTTTCCCCGCGACAATTTTTTACAAAATGTAGACTTTATTTTGTGGATCTTTAAAACCCTATGGACTTTCTACAATAAGTATTTATAGATCTGTATTGAATTTGAATTCAACCATAAAACATAAAAAAACTTAAAAATACAAGCTTTCCTCCGAACCAAACTAGGTTGGGGTCTCCTTTAAGTCCACTACGAAACATGAGCAGTCGCTCCGCGTAAAAAATTGAAGTTAGAAGCGACTGCGTTAATACCTCCGCAACCCCTAGACCTACATACCTACTAGGCGATATCGAAGCTCTGTCGAAAGACTGTTGTGGGACTTTTTAGGCCTCTAACTGCCCGTAACGATTACCATAGAGGCACGGAGAGGTCTCGATGTATTAAAATGGTCACCCATCCATAGATTGACTTATTAACTGATTAACCTTACAATGTATTAACCTAGTCTACTACTTTTCCCCTAACCTATAAAAAATGTAAGCACAAATTGATAGTGTGGCTTCTTTCCTTAACGTACAGTCAGTCTGAAGACATCATAGCATGAAAACGTATACACCTTACACTCATCACATGTACACTGACATACACTCGCCTACACTTAACATACACTCGCCTACACTTAACATACACTCAAACACCATTTACACAAGATAGGTACCAAAACACATTTAATTACTCATTGTAAAATTGTAAACTTAGTTGTAAGTACTTGTACTGTTGGATTCGGATGTGGGCGTTAATGGCTACGACACAGTTTATACTACTGTAGCCATTATCGTATAATTATTGTGAAAATGTAACAAGGTTTTGAATAAAGTATATTATTATTATTATTATTTTCACCTTAAAATTCACCTTAAAACTGCAACACGATAAAGTCTCAATCGGATAAAACTCAAAAGTCACATGAAACGCTATGTTATCGGCATTTACAAAGCTTAGGTCTTAATGGGGTAGATTTTAATGTTGAGTTTCTATTAGTAGCTTTGATAGTAATTCTAATCAGCCTAATCTCTAGCCAGAACACTCTATGAATTTATCTCTCGATTTTTTTGTGTCCTATAAAATACAAAATGGCTGGCGGGAGTTGGATGCGAGAATCTCAAAATTTATCTAAGTGGCGTACAATGGGAGAGGCCTACGTCTAGCAGTGGACTGCGAAAGGCTGATGATGGATGATGATAAAATATAACTATAATACGAACTCCATTCTTAGTCGGTGTGTAACTTTTCACTAAAATTGCAAACCAGAATTATGCAAATCGCTCTTGATAATAAACGCTATGATATCACAGTTTAATAAGTTAAAAATATTGATCAATTTAACACAAAATATTGACACAAATTAATTTTCATTCTTAAAACCGACCTCAATCAAGTTTGGGAAAAGGGCTCTGAGAAAGAAAGAAGAATGTTCATTTATCGGCAAAACTGGAAATTCCTATAGTATAGTAAATAGCTTTTGCTCGCGGCTCCGCCCGCGTGTATGTCGGTTATCGTGGTAAAAAGTCTATATTATTTTCTAAGAATGTTGCATTCCATTTTTGAAAGAATTTCTTAAATCGGTTCAGTGGTTTGGGCGTAAAAGCGTAACAAACGAACAAGTAAAAAACCTCCTTTCACATTTGTAATATAAGTATGGATTTGAGAATCTTTTGTGAAAAATAATTCTATAAAGAGATGTATCGAAAAGATTTTTGTTTTTTTTTACAAAACGAACATAATGTTCATTTATTTTGACGACTGGATGGCGTAGTGGTTTGTGTAACGGACTGCTATTCCAAAGGTTCGATTCCCGCTCAAGTCAAACATTTGTGTGCATGAACATTTGATGTATGATTTGGTCTGGGCGTTTCTATGTATAATATGTATGTATTTACATTTAAAAAGTATATATGTATTTATATCAGTTGTCTAGTACCCATAGTACAAGCTCTGCTTAATTTGGGACTAGATGGCGTTGTGTGTATGTGGTACAATATATTATTATTATTATATTATTTGTACAAGAAAAAACAATGTGGTAAATAAAACTGTATAAGTTTAATAACTTTTATTTTCTTTTACTTATAATACTACCCACAGAAGCTGCTACGTTAATACTTAAAGATTTTAAAATAGGATTACATTTGATGACATTTTCTGTAAGTTTTTTCTTAAGCTCAAAACCAATACAACTTTTGAATAAGTTATGATTGGCAAAGTACAAGCAAAATCCTATATCTCTTCTGTATCTCTATCTTATAAACTTCTGTAGATTTGTACGGCCGCCTTTGATCCGAAGATAGGCAATAAGTAAATGAGACGATACATTTCTAAGATTTTATCTACAATTATCAAAGTACAACTATTCACTTTTACTCATAATGACACTAAAATAGAATAAATATATAAACAAAAACACATTGTCAGGGTATTTAGATTACTGATTCCGACCGGTACTGATTTACATTCAGTCAAAAAAGTATCGGGAATGGATGATTTGTTTATGGTTCCAAATTCAAATTTTTGATTTTTTTTGTTGTTAGATTGACACAACTGTTTTCCATTTTGGCGCGGAGTTTGAGTTGCATCTGTTATTTATATTAAATACAGTGCTGTTTTTAGTTATATCATATCTAGTGTGTATTGCGAATTTCATAATGGACAAAAACATCAAACAAAGAGTTTGTCTTAAATGTTGCCTCGCCAATGCAATTTCGTGTTCGGAGTCACTGAAAATGTTACAGAATACGGTGAATCTTACGGTGAATCAACTTTATCAAAAACACGTACTTATGAGTGGTACAAAGCGTTCAAAAGCGGTCGAGATACGATGGAAGATTTGCCTCGCTCTGGTAGGCCATCAACGTCTGCAACTGAAGTTAACATCGCAAATGTGAAAGAAATAGTGACTGAAAATCTTCATTCAACTTTGAGAGAGATAGCCGCCAAACTTTATGTATCTCACGAGTCAATCCGTACCATTTTAACTAATCATTTGGGTATGAAACATGTTACCGCTCGGCTAGTCCCAAAAGACTTCTATTTTCTCCAAAAACTCAATCGCATGAGATTCGCTGAGGACATGCTAGAACGAGTCAATTCCGACTCAACATTCATAAAACGCATTGTTACAGGTGATGAGACGTGGGTTTACGAGTTTGACATGCAAACTAGTCAACAAGCTTCGGAGTGGCGCCTTCCAACTGAACCGAAACCGAAAAAACCACGCCAAAGTCGATCAAAAGTCAAAGTCATGTTGACTGTTTTCTTGAGCTATCGCGGTGTTGTGAACTCGGAGTTCTTGCCGGAAGATCAAACGGTACTAGGCCAGATTTGTGCAAAGAAAATTCTTGGATTTTGAACCACGATAATGCGCCTTCGCACAAGGCCATCATTGTGAACTAATTTTTGACCAAACACTCAACAAATACCATCGAGCAAACACCTTATTCACGAGATATGGCTCATCCAGATATGAAACTTCATCCATACCTCTGATTTTAATATTCACACAACAGAATTTAATTCCAATACAAATTTCAAAGGATACGTACCTACTTGTATTGTGAGACTCAATAACAACGTCTATCATCATCTGTCTATGATTAGAAACGACGAACGGAGCGAATGAATCCAGTCAGTGAAATCTCCTCTCGTCCCATCATGTCCGCACATTATTAGCACTATTATCGTAGTTTATCTATTAGGTATTTATACGAACATAATGGAATCGTATTCTTTTAGCGGCCGGCTGGCCAATAAACGAACACAGTAATGGGTGATTGGGATCTCTTCGTAGAATGACAAGGGTTGGTTAGACGAATACGAAGATATGTACACTTGAATTACAGTTCAGTAGATTTCATTGCTTTTTACGTGTTTATATTAAACGAGGCGATATCTTTCAGTAGCGATTGTATAGTTTGGAGAAGATATTTTTGTCTCTTTTTGCATGTATTTATTGTGTTATTAATACTAAGAAC